ATCGGCTACGAGCTGACGGGGACGGTCCACTTCCCCTGGTGCCTCAACAGGGTGGTGGCCAAGATCCCCGTCGTGGTCAGAAACGAAGCCACGGAGCTGCCAGAGTAAATGAGGGAAGGCTGTGCCCCAAACCCTCTGCCATTTTTGTCCAAATAGGTGGATATAGTTTTCAAAATGGATCCCGTTCTCCATCCCCGTCTCCTGACTCATTAAATGCTCGCGCTACGTTTCTGTTTCCGAGACTCCCTGTTCAATTGGTTGGGTTTTACAAGTCGTCCTCAACTTACCACCATCATGGAACCCAGCCTGTTACGGTCGTAGGTCACAAAGGTCATAAAGGGGGTCATCATGTGATCAATCTGATCTGACAGCTTTGTTGCAGAGTGGTCGTTAAGGGAGTCACCATGTCTACAATCGTTATGTGGAAGCTGTTTATTGCCATGCAGCATTTGTGTTGGATGCAAGAACGACAGGTCATCCTCAATTTACAACCATTCATTTAATGGCCGCTCGACACTAAACGAAAAAAGTGACTTACGACCGTTTTTCACACTTCCGACCACTGCAGTGTCCCCAGGGTCAGGTGATCAATATTCAGATCTTTGGCAACTGATTCATATTTACAATGGTCGCAGTGTCCTGGGACGTCATGGGATCCCCTTTTGAGACCTTCTAACAAGCAAAGTTGACGGGGGAAGCCTGATCCGCTTAGCAACCGTGTTGTTAACAACAGCAATGATTCACACAACAACTGTGGTAGGAAAGCTGGTAAAATGGGGCAAAATGCACTTAGCAACTGTCTCACTTAGCAAAAAGTGTCGGGCTCAATTGAGGTCGTAAGTGTCAACGCTGCTAACATTGGATGTTTTTGCTTTGGAGATGTAACCATTTTCTTCTTTTTGCTTTAGATGATGCTGGGGAGGGGGGAATGTGAACGAGAGTCCAGCTAGACCAGGGGTAGGCAACCTTGGCTCTTTTATGACTCGTAGACTTCAACTTCCAGAATTCCTGAGCCAGCATGGCTCAGCTTGGAAACCTCTCCCTTTCCCCTCAGCATGGCTGGCTCAGGAATTCTGGGAGTTGAAGTCCACTAGTCATAAAAGAGCCAAGGTTGCCTAACCCTGAGCTAGACACAACACTAAACTTAGCGTGAGAATCAAGGTTGTTGAAATAAGAGATGATACGAATTGGCAGACTGGAGAGCTGGAGGGAAAGCCTGCGTTTCAAGTGAATTGGGGAATGTGATTTATGACAGTTAATTGGAGGAGGGAATTGTGATTTGAAACTATGTGCTCAAGGGGGGGGGGAATTCAGGTTTTGGCTTCGATTATGTTAGTGCCGATGTTATGCTTCTTGAATAAAGATTCTTTAAGGCAGTGGTTCTCAACCTTTTTATACCGGCGACCCCGGTCATAAGGATGCGCCGCCGCCCCCATGCGCGGCGTGCATGTGCGGCGCCCCCATGTGCACCACGCATGCACGGCGCCGGCGCACATGCGCAGTGCCGCCAGCTGAGGGAAAAAATGGCGGATCGCGTTGTTTGGCAACCCCCGTGAAATGGTCGTTCGACCCCAAATGGGGTCACGACCCACAGGTTGAGAACCACTGCTTTAAGGGAAACAATGCCTTGAAATTCTTTGAAGCGTTTCATCTGTCAGAACCACGACACCGAGGGCTGTTTGTCAGTGTCAATTTTGGGCAAAAATGGCATAAGGAGACCACGATCGTGGGATGCTGCAAATGGCTGTAAGATGGAGGCCAGTCAGCAACTGGCCAAAATATAGTCCCGTGGTTGTGGGGGAGCTTGGACAATGGATCCAGGTCCTAAGTACTTTTTTTTGGGGGGGTGATCCATTGTACTGTCTAACCATCACTAAGTCATAGGTTGAGGACCTACCTTTATGGAATTTCCAATCTCCTTTTTAAAAAAAAAATGTAAGTCCTTAACGACCCCAATTCAGCCCAAAATTTCCACTGCTAAGAGAGACGTTTAAATTGAAAAAAAAAATTTCCCCATTTTACGACCTTTTTCGCCACAGTTGCGAAGGGAATCGCTGCTGTTGTTAAGTGAGCAACATGGCTGTGAAGTGAATTTGGCTTCTCCGTGGAGTTTGCTTGTCAGGAGGTCACCAAAGGGGATCACGTGACCCCCCCCCCGGGAGGCCGCAACCGTCATAAATGTGAGCTGATTGCCCGGTGTCTGAATTCTGATCACGTGACCGTGGGGAGGATGCGACGGTCGTAAGTGTGCGAAAAAGGTCGTCAGTCACTTTTTTCAGTGCTGTTACAACTTCGGTCACTAAACAAACTGTTGTAAGTCGAGGACTCCCTATAGTTTGGATTGCACTGTGTTCTCACTGTACAGCAAAGTCCCTTGAACCAAAGATATACTTTGGTTTGGTCACTAAAGAAACTGTTATAAATTGAGGACTATCTATTTCTCTTGCTCAAGCAGGGGGCTGGACTAGAAGACCTCCAAGGTCCCTTCCAGCTTCTATTCTATTCTATTCTATTCTATTCTATATTCTATATCAGCGGTTCTCAACCTATGGGTCGCGACCCCATTTGGGGTCGATCGACCATTTTACGAGGGTCGCCAAAGAAGGCGATCCGCCATTTTCCCCCCTCAGGGGGCGCCGCCGCGCATGCGCAGCACGTTTGTGTGACGGGGGTCGCCGTCACACAAACTTTGAGAACCACTGTTCTATATGCTATATTCTATTCTATTCTATTCTATTCTATTCTATTCTATCCTATAATTCTATTCTATTCTGTTCTGTTCTATTCTATTCTGTTCTATTCTATTCTATTCTATTCTATTTTCTGTTCTGTTCTGTTCTATTCTATATTCTATTCTATTCTATTCTCAATAAAGATTCTATTCTGTTCTATTCTATTCTATTCTGTTCTTTCTATTCTATTCTATTCTATTCTATATTCTATATTCTATATTCTATTCTATTCTCTATTCTATTTTATTCTATTCTATATTCTATTCTATTCTATTCTATTCTATATTCTATTCTATTCTATTCTATTCTATTCTATTTTCTATTCTATTCTATCCTATAATTCTTTTCTATTCTGTTCTATTCTATTCTGTTCTATTCTCAATAAAGATTCTATTCTGTTCTATTTTCTGTTCTGTTCTGTTCTATTCTATATTCTATTCTGTTCTCAATAAAGATTCTATTCTATTATATTCCATTTTCTATTCTATCCTATCCTATCCTATCCTATCCTATACTATAGTATACTATACTATAATTCTATTCTATTCTGTTCTGTACTGTTCTGTTCTATTCTATATTCTATTTTATTCTCAATAAAGATTCTATTCTATTCTATTCTATTCTATTCCATTCCATTCCATTCTCGTGCATTTTTAATCCAGAGCCATACTTTTCAACTGTCTGAAGATGTTCGGGCTTCTTCAAGTTCCTGAGGTTAAGAAACAGGATCTCCCTGTTGATTCCTAGCAGGACCAGATTCCCTCTGACCTACTTCCAAGACCTGCAACATCTCTGTGTAGGCTTGACATGTCAAGTTGCTCTACCTGTGTTTTCACCACCTCCACCCCTGCACTGATCCCTCATTGGCCAAAACCAGAGGAAGGTGACTCCTTGGCCTGCCTCAGTTTCAACCTACTTAAAAATTCCCCGTGTGTAAAAAAGCCACATTCGGCCAGGAGTTTGTCTACAGCCATCTGGAAGGACCATCATCCGATCACAAGACCAGGTAATTGAATGCGACGGATTGCGTTGATTCCGGCCTTTGTGTGGTCCTCAGGTTTCGGCAACGATGGGCTACTAGAGTCCCCCAAGTGGTTTGGACACAACGGAGAGCCTTGAGCAAATCAGACTGAATGAGATAGATGCCACCACGTGCAGAAAAGGGGAGCTTACAAGGGCTTGTAGACCACGACTGAAGATCTCCAGATCTTGGCTTCTTCTCGAATTATTTAACCTCAGAGGTTAAATAGCATTTTGAGGAATGTAGCTGTGATGCTTGAATTCAGATCCGGAGCTCAGATGCCTGGATTCTGCAGCCTGGAAATCCCCTAAAGCAGTGGTTCTCAACCTTTTTAATGCCGCAACCGCCAACCGGTCGTAAGTCGAGGACTACTCAACCGGTCATAAGTCGAGGACTACTACACTGGTGCAGCACCATTTGCAGAATGGGACTTTTAGCGGGCTCAGCAGGGCAGAGACAGCTGGACAATTCCTATTGGCTTTTGAAAGCCAATAGAATTAGACTCTATTCAAGAGAGTCTATTCTATTGGCTTTCAAAAGCCAATAGAATAAAAGGGAGTAGCACAGCTAAGGAAAAGGGGAAAAAAATGGCGGACTGCGTTGTTTGGCGACTCCCGTGAAATGGTCGTTCGACCCCAAATGGGGTCCCGACCCACAGGTTGAGAACCACTGCCCTAAAGTCTTGTTTGTATTTTTCTTTTTTTAATTGATAAAAATCTATGCAGGTGTTCCTCATCTTATGGCCACAGCTTCTATTGCTCAGTGAGAAATTTCTTAAATGCGTTTTACGACTTTTCTTGCCACCCGTTCTTAAGTGAATGGCTGCGGCTGATAAGACGGTAATCCGGTTGTTAAGTGAATCTGGCTTCCCCGTGGACTTTGCTTGTCAGGGGTTCGCAAAAGTGGAATCGCGCGACCCTGGGGATCACATGGCCGTCATAAAGATGAGCACCTGAATTTAGATCCCGGGACCGTAGGGATGCTGCGAGCGTGAAAAATGGTCCTGTCGCCTTTTTCAGTGATGTAACTTTGAATGGTTACTAAGTGAAGTGTTGTAAGTTGAGGACTGTCTGTATTTTAAAGACTTAAATCAGGGGTCCTCAAACATGGCCACTTTAAGACTTGTGGACTTCAATTCCCAGGATTCCCCAGCCAGCCATGGCTGGCTGGGGAATCCTGGGAATTGAAGTCCACAAGTCTTAAAGTGGCCATGTTTGAGGACCCCTGACTTAAATGGACTGTGACTTCTGCTTTTTTCTCCTCCTTGAGTAGACTTCACCAAAGTGGTCAGGGCTGACCTCCAAGGATAGGACTAAGGGCAGTGCTCAACTTGCAACTATTCGCTTAGTGACCGTTCAAAGTTACAACGGCACTGGAAAAAGCGCCGTAAAACACTGTCCTCACACCACTGTCACAGCATACCCAAAGTCACGGGAATCAATATTTGGGCACCTGTCAATTACGATGGTTGCAAAATCCCCAGATCCTGTGATCACCGTTCGCATCCTTCCCAGCAGACCTCCGAGAAACACAGTCAGGGGGAGTAGCCGGATTCGTTTAATGACTGCGTGATTCACTTAACAACGGCTGAAATTTACATCACAGCTGTGGCAAAAAAAAAAAAAAAGATTGTAAAATCGGGCAGAATTCACTTAACATCTGCCTTGGTTAACCGTGAAAATTCTGGTCCCAATTTTATTTTAAGTCGAGAACTAGCTGTATCTCGGTTGAAGTAGATCAAAATTTGATATGCAGATAAGTCCTTGACTTCTGATCAGCAATCCAGCCCAAAATTTCTGTTGCTAAGCACAACAGTTATTAAGCGAGTTTTGCCCCTTTTTACGACATTTCTTGCGACCATTCTTAAGTGAATCACCACAGTTGTTAAATTAGTAACATGGCTGTTAAGTGAATTTGGCTTCCCCCACTGGCTTTGCTTGTCAGAAGATTGCGTGATCCCGGGACACTGGAACCCATCATAAATACACGCCCGTTGTTGGCGGGCATGCCCTAAAGCAGTGTTTCCCAAACTTGACAATTTTAAGGCATGTGGACTTCAACTCCCAGAATTCCACAGCCAGCATTGCTGGGAGTTGAAGTCCACATGCCTTAAAATTGTCAAGTTTGGGAAACTGCCCTAAAGCAAAAAGATTTGGGGTCAAAATACATTTATGGTTGGAGAAAATGACTAAAAAACAAATAGACTTTAAACCAGAATTATTTTTGTTAGGAATAATAGGAGCTAACGGTGAGAAAGATTGCAGATATTTAACACTACACATATTAATGGCAGCAAGAATTGTATTTGCCCAACATTGGAGAAATGAAAACTTGCCAGCTGAAGAAGTACTGATTAAGAAAATTCTAGAGTGGGCAGAAATGGATAGATTGACTTTAAAGAGAAAAGAGAAAGAAGACTCGGTGTACTTTAGAACATGGGATAATTTCTATCCATGGCTAGAAAGATGAATTAGAGAGAACGGAATGTGCTGTGTTATTTTGAACATATATTAGCAAGAAGAAGGCTATGGAGTGATTAATTAACATATTGTTTATGATAATTAATTATTATCTATTATTGTTTGTTAAACAGATGAACCCAGACATTATGCTGTTTGCTAAATATTGAGAATGTTATTTGGAAAAACCCCAACCCCAATCCTAACACTAATTCCAACCTCAACCCCGACCCCACTTTATTCCTAACCCTATAAAAACTAATAAAATCCATACAATAAATACATAAATACACACCCGTTGCGAAGTGTCTAGTTTTGATCGTGTGACCGCGGGAATGCTGCAACTGTCGTAAGTGTGACAAACGATCACAAGTCACTTGCTTCAGTGCCGTTGTAACTTCAAACGGTCACTAAATGAATGATTGCAAATCAATGACTATCTAGACCAGGGGTGTGAAACTTGCCGGCCCGCAGGCTGAATGCGTCATGGGAAAACCACGCCCACCTCATTGCCAGCGAAGGAAATAAAGTCGCAATACGTTATTGCCAGCCTGACACCTCTGATCTAGACTTAATAGAAACAAATCAATAGCCCAGCCCACCTCACAAGGTTGTTGTTGCGAAAATAGGAGGAGGAATGTTTGTTGGTTTTTTTCGCTGCCTTGAGTTATTTGTAAAAGTATAAAGGTGGATGAGAGAGAGAGAGAGAGAGAGAGAGAGAGAGGGATTCAAATATGTGAACAACTGGTTCTCTGTGTGGATGCCGCTTCCGGAAGTCCGTTCTGGGCCTGGGCAACAAAAAATTAGCTACCGGTTCTATCTATCTATCTATCTATCTATCTATCTATCTATCTATCTATCTATCTATCTATCTATCTATCTAGCTAGCTAGCTAGCTAGCTAGCTAGCTAGCTAGATAGATAGCTAGATAGATAGCTAGATAGCTAGATATTGCTAGCTTTTTTCATTTTTTATTTGACTTGGATGACATACGCAACGGGCTTTTTAGAAAATGACTCAGCTGCAAGAGACCAACATACAGGAGAGCTGCAAACTTTCGCAACTGATGTGTGTTTGTTGTGTCAAATGCACTTGCTGGGCCTCCAGGAGTGCAAAGGTCTTTGCTCTGATTCAGCAACTTTTCCTTTCAAAAAATCTATAGTTGGAACAGCAATGTGGCACCTGCCTAGGGATAATCTACCTCGGATTATGAATTGCAGAAGATAATTAGCCCAGGAAGTTCACGTTTCCCCTCCCAGCTTCTTTGAGGGACGTCTCCACCTGGTTAGCTAAGAAGGAGTCTAGGAGGACCATGGTTTTTTGCTGAAAATGTAAAGCACACAAGTTGAGCGTTACAGGATAAAATCCTCCATGTGTAGGTGCATTCTACCTTCAGTGACTACCTGCTAGGGGTAAGCAACCTCAGAATGCTTCCGCTGGATTTTGCAGATCAGATAATACAGTTTGGGCGTGCGAGAATGTTTTGTACCAAGTAATCTGTCGCAAGTAATCTGGAATTTGTTATGAAGTAACTCGTTTTTCCAAACATCCGCCCCCATTTTTTGTTGTGTTAAGCAACTTCACATTCCAGCACGCAAGGTTGCATAGGGCCTTCTTGTGACAACCTCCGTTGCACCATCCCTTCCTTCCATGATCGTCTTAGCCCAGGGAGAGAGAAGAAAGAAAGATGTCTTCAGAAGAAAGGTTGTAAAATGGAGCGAAACTCACTGAGCAAACGTCTCACTTAGCAACGTAAATTTTGGGGCTCAGTTGTGGTCATAAGTCAAGGACTGCCTGTATTCAGATTTGACTTTGCTTACACTTTAACCCTTTGGCTTTAGTAAAAGCAACGGTGGGATTCAAACGGTTCTCTCATGGATGCAGGCCTGGGCCTCTGAGGCCTAGAATGGACTTCCGGAAGTGACATCCATGCACTTCCTGTGGGCTGTTCTAGGCCTGAGAGGCCTCCTCCAGGCCTAGAATGGACTTCCAGAAGTGACATCCATGCACTTCCTGTGGGCTGTTCTAGGCCTGGGAGGCCTCCTCCAGGCCTAGAATGGACTTCCAGAAGTGACATCCACACACTTCCTGTGGGCTGTTCTAGGCCTGGGAGGCCTCCTCCAGGACTAGAATGGACTTCCAGAAGTGACATCCACGCACTTCCTGTGGGCTGTTCTAGGCCTGGGAGGCCTCCTCCAGGCCTCCCAGGCCTAGAATGGACTTCCAGAAGCAGCGTGGGTTCAGCCGGTTCTCCGAACTCAACAAAATTTAGCTACCAGTTCTAACAAACCGGTGCAAATTGGCTGAATCCCACTACTGAGTAAAAATATATCCTTCCTCTACTAATGGAGTCAAGGGTCTTTCTTTCTTAAATGCCCAGGGAGAAAAGTGGCATCTTGTCACTCTGGATACCAAAAATGGTTAGTCCTTCAATAGAAGATCACATGAAGTTAGGGTTGAAGGCTCTGTTGAGAAGCTGAAGGAGACTCAACCAGAAGAAGACAATGGCAAGAAACAACCTTGGATGTATGTCTCAAAGGTGCTTTTCCAAAAGGCAACTGGACTTTCTTGGTTTTTCCTTGAAGACATTTCGCTTCTCATCCACGAAGCTTCTTCAGTTCAGACCAAATAGTAATAATAATAATAGTAGTAATAGAGTTGGAAGGGAACTTTGAGGTCTTCTAGTCCAACCCCCTGCTCATGCAAGAGACTCTACCTATGCCATTCCAGACACATGGCTGTCCAGTCTCGTCTTAAAAGCCTCCAGTGATGGAGCATCCACAACTTCTGGAGGCAGGTTGTTCCCCTGGTTAATTGTTCTAACTGTCAGGAAGTTTCTCCTTAGTTCTAGGTTGCTTCTCTCCTGATTAGTTTCCATCTGTTGCTTCTTGTCCTGCCTTCAGGCGCTTTGGAGAATAGATTGAACTTCCTCTTTTTTTGTGATAGACCCCCAAATATATTGGAACACTGCTATTATGTCATCCCTAGTCCTTCTTTTTTGGGCACCATGATGTAAAAAATATGTTGAGACTCTAGAAAGAGTACAGAGAAGAGCAACAAAGATGATTAGGGGACTGGGGGCTAAAACATATAAAGAATGGTCGCTGGAATTGGGTATGTCTAGTTTAATGAAGAGAAGGACCAGGGGGAACATCATAGCAGTGTTCCAGTATCTCAGGGGCTGCCCCAAAGAAGAGAGAGTCAAGCTATTCTCCAAACCGCCTGAGGCAGGACAAGAAGCAACGGATGGAAACTAATCAAGGAGAGAAGCAACCTAGAACTAAGGAGAAACTTCCTGACAGAACAATTAACCAGTGGAACAACCTGCCTCCAGAAGCGGTGAATGCTCCAACACTGGAAGTCTTTAAGAAGAGACTGGACAGCCATGTGTCTGAAATGGTATAGATTTCCTGCCTGAGCAGGTTGTTGTTGTTGTTGTTGTTGTTATTATTATTATTATTATTATTATTATTATTATTATTATTATTATTATTGCAAAAGGCAGCTTTACTCGGAACAGCTGACATCCTGTAACTCTGTCTCTTTAACCTGTAACTCTGTCTGTTCCCAGATTGTTGGGAAGGATGCAATAGATGGATAAAGATGCCGAATCTAATTTGAACATCTGGCTGTGACCAACCATATTAATTTACTTTCTTATGGCATGTTGATGGGGGGATGGAGGGATGGATGGATGGACAGAGAACAGAGTAGAGTAGAGTAGAGTAGAATAGAATAGAATAGAATAGAATAGAATAGAATAGAATAGAATAGAATAGAATAGAATAGAATAACTTTATTGTCACTTTGAATGTACACTTATCAGCATACATTAAAATGAAATTTCATCACATACAGCTGTCATTAATAACAAAAAAATTGCATATACCCACATATTAACATATATTCTATTTCACAGGAAGGAAGGAAGGAAGGAAGGAAGGAAGGAGGGAGGGAAGGAGGGAGGGAGGGAGGGAGGGAGGGAGGGAGGGAGGGAGGGAAGGAAGGAAGGAAGGAAGGAAGGAAGGAAAAAGTAGGAGGAGGAAGGGAGGGATGGGGAGGGGAGGGAGGGAAGGAGGGAGGGAGGGAGGGAAGGAAGGAAGGAAGGAAAAAGTGGGAGAAGGAAGGGAGGGAGGAAGGGAGGGAAGGAAGGAAGGATTTAAGTTAAACTATGAATTGTCTTCTCTTGCAGTTGAACCAGAGTTCCTAATGGCCACAGAAGGGGAGAACCAGACAGCTACAAAGACTGAGGTCAGTTTCCAAGCTCTTCTTTCAGGGAACGATGGTTACCATGAATACTGCTGAATTGTTGGCGAGGCCCACTTGGGGATCAGCGCAGGTTTATAGACTCCAGCCATGCCTCCTCCAACTCAGCGCATCCTTTTGCATCCTTTTTTAGTGAGTCATTGAGGCTACTTGGAGGTTTGTCTGTGTCCCCAGGGTCACCTGAGTGGTGCAAATGGGTGTGGAGCCTTCTCAGAGCTGCTGAAAGGACCCTGTGGTAGACTGAAGATAGACGGTGTCGTATTACAGATAAACCTCCAAGTGGCCTCAACGACCCTCTAATAAAATGCAAATGACCGGCTGTCTGCAAGGAGTATAAATCCTTCCCTTCCCCACCACCCAGTCAGAGCTGAAGAAGCTTCTGGGAGGAGAAGCGAAACATCTTCAAAGAAAAACAAGGAAGTCCAGTTGCCACGTGGAAAAGCACCTTTGGGACATCACAGCTGTAGTACAGGAAGTCCTCGGCTTACGACCACAATCGGAAGCACAATTGTTAAGGGAATGGCTGAAGTTGTAAAGCGAGTCACGCAATCTTTACACGAATCCAGCTTCCCCCATGAATTTTGCTTGTCGGAAGCCGGCTGGGAAGGTCGCAAAATGGAGATCACGTGACCCCAGGAGGCTGTGACCGTCGTAGATCCATGCCGGTTGCCAAGCGCCTTAATTTTAATCCCGTGACCATGAGGATATTGTGACGGTTGTAAGTGTGAAGACCGGCCATGAGTCACTCGTAACCTCGAATGGTCGCTAAACGAGTGGTTGTAAGCCGAGGACTACCCATACTGGGACGGTTGTAAGTGTGAGGACTGGCCAGAAGTCACTCATAACCTCGAACAGTCGCTAAACAAGTGGTTGTAAGCCGAAGACTACCCATACAGTGACGGTTGTAAGGGCGAGGACTGGACATAAGTCACTTTGAATAGTCGCTAAAGGAGTCATTGTAAACAAGCTGAGGACTCTCCATATCGACAGGGTCAGAAGGCTTAGCAAGAGTAGTGGGAGGATCCCCAGAGGGAAGACACTCCCATCAGCCCCAGCCACAAAGGGCAACACCCAGAGGTAATGGGAGGTGTAGTCCAGGCACTCTAGAACAGTGGTGGCGAACCTATGGCACACGTGCCAGAGGCGGCACTCAGAGTCCTCTCTGTGGGCACGCGCGCCGTCGCCCCAGCCCCGCCTCCCCCTGTGGCCCCCTCCTCACCAGAAGCCCCCCCCCGGAGGAGAGTCGCCCCAAAGCACGGCCCACACGGAGCAGCGCAGCCAAGAACATGGCAGCCGGGCAGCGGGGATAAGACTCCGCCCTCGCGCCCCATCATGCACAGTTGATGCTGCAGGGCGCGGGCGGAGGGTGTGGCCGCCATAGCGCTGCTGGGCCACCTGGGCGATCTGCGGCAGGCCATGGAGGCGGTGAGTGGCCCCCGCAGGTGGGCGAGGCGGTGGGTGGGGTGGGGGCGGAGCAGGGCGGGGCTAGTTTGGGGGCACTCGCTCTCTAAAAGGTTTGCCCTCACTGCCCTAGAAGCATCTGGGAAGCAGCCGGTCTCTGGCCAGGGATCCCGGCTGAGATCAGCTTTCTCGCTCCCCTCCAGAATATCGTGACCAGAATCACCAACCTGCCCTTGGTCAGTTCTGCGTACGGCGTTTGGTCCTCCATGTACGAGTATGCCAAGAAGACCTACCCCTGCGTCAACACCGCCTGCAACATCGTCGAGATGGTGGCCGCCGTCGCCGTGGGCAGTGCCCGAGGGGGTGCCCAGCCTCTCCTGCCCCACCTTGAACCCCAGAGTGAGTCCACAAACGCTGCCTTTAAGAGTCCGGCTGGCTGCCTGGAGCTCCCTGGTGCAGCGTTTCAAGCTTCAAGCGCCACTTGAACTGCCGTCAGGTGGCTAGTCCTCACGGTGTAAATGTTTCTTTGCAGGAATAATAATAATAATAATAATAATAATAATAATAATAATAATTATTATTATTATTATTATTATTATTATTATTATTATTATTATTCAAACAGACAAGCACCTGCAACATAACACTCCAGACTTAACAATTGTCGATAAGAAAGACAAAAAAATCTGGATAGTGGATGTGGCAGTGCCTGGAGACAGCAGAATAGACGAGAAAGAACTGGAGAGGATAACAAAATACAAAGACCTACAAATAGAAATAGAAAGACTGTGGCAAAAGCAAGCAAGGGTAGTACCAATAGTCATAGGCTCCTTGGGTGCAATCCCAAAACAACTGGAGCACCACTTGAACACCACTGGCATTGACAAATTCGCTATTAGTCAATTGCAAAAGGCGGCCTTATTAGGAACTGCTTCCATCCTGCGACGATATCTGTAATACCATCAAACATCCATACCTGCCTATCCCAGGTCCTGGGTAAAGACTCGATAGGTAGACAAAATGCCAAATCCAGTCTGAACATCTGGCTGACTGTGCGATGATCCATAATAATAATAATAAAAGTTGGAAGGGACCTTGGAGGTCATCTAGTCCAACCCCCTGCTCAGGCAGGAAACCCTATACCATTTCGGACAAATGGCTGTCCAGTCTTTTCTTAAAGAATAGAATAGAATAGAATAGAATAGAATAGAATAGAATAGAATAGAATAGAATAGAATAGAATAGAATAGAATAGAGCTGGAAGGGACCTTGGAGGTCTTCTAATCCAGCCCCCTCTCAAGCAGGAGAACCTATACCATTTCAGACAAGTGACTGTTTAGCCTCTTTTAAAAAATCTCCAGTGATGGAGTGCCCACGATTTTTGGTGGCAAGCTTTTCCACTGGTTAATTGTCCTCACTGTCAGGAAGTTTCTCCTTAATTCCAGGTTGCTTCTCTCTTTGGTCAGCTTCCAACCGTTGTTTCTCGTCCTTCTCTCTGGTGCTTTGGAGAATAACGTGACCCCCTCATCTTTGTGGGAGCCCCCCAGATACTGGAACACGGCTATCATGCCTCCCCTATTTCTTCTTTTCTTTAGACTAGCCAGACCCAAGTCCTGCAACTGTTTCAGACGGAAACATAGTGTGAGGCTGGTTTGACTTAAGGCCAAAAGTTTAAAAATGTTTTTTTTTTTCTTCCTTTCCAGTTGCAACCGTGAACGACTATGCTTGCAAAGGTTTGGACAAGTTGGAGAAAAAACTGCCAATTCTTCATCAACCAACTTACCAGGTAACATAAATTAGCAAAGTTCCCAGAACGCACCTTGCTGGCTGGGGAATTCTGGGAGTTGACGTCCACACATCTTAAAGTTTCTCCAGGTTGAGAAACATTGCTCCAAAGCAGGGGTCTTTGGCCCTTTTAGGACTTGTGGACTTCAACTCCCAGAATTCCTCGGCCAGCGTGCCTGGCTGAGGAATTCTGGGAGTTGAAGTCCACAAATCATAAAAGGGCCAAGTTTGAAGATCCCTACTCTAGGGCAGGTAACTATGGCCCTTTTATGACTTGTGGACTTTAACTCCCAGCATTCCTGAGCCAGCCAGGCTCAGCCATTCTGGTTCAGGAATTCTGGGAGTTGAAGTCCACAAGTCATAAAAGGGCCATACCTGTAGTTCTCCCCCACCCCCGCTCTAGAGGGTTGAAACTTTAGTAGTCCACAACTTACAACCACAACTGAGCCCAAAACTGATGTTGCTAAGTGAGAAATATGTTAAGTAAGTTTTGCCCTATTTTACAACTTTTCTTGCCATATTTCTTAAGTGAATCACTGCGGTTATTAAGTTAGCAACCCTGTCATTAAGCGAATGTGGTTTCCCCAGTGACTTTACTTGTCAGAAGGTCACAAAAGGGGATCACTGCGGCCGTCATAAATATGAGTCAGTCGCCAAGTGTCTGAATTTTGATCACTTGACCGTGGGAATGCTGCGACGGTCATAAATGTGAAAAATGGTCCTACGCCACTTTTTTAAGTGCCATCGCAACTTTGAACGGTCTTAAATCAAGGACTGCTTCTCCCTTGGAAGAGACCTTGGAGGTCATCTAGTCCAACCACCTGCTCAGGCAGGAAACCCTATACCATTTCGGACAAATGGCTGTCCATCTCTTCTTAAAAACTTCCAGTGTTGAAGCATTCACTGCTTCTGGAGGCAGGTTGTTCCACTGGTTAATGTTCTAACTGTCAGGAAGTTTCTCCTTAGTTCTAGGTTGCTTCTCTCCTTGATCAGTTTCCATCCGTTGCTTCTTGTCCTGCCTTCAGGTGCTTTGGAGAAGAGCTTGACTGCCTCTTCTTTGGGGCAGCCCAAGATACTGGAAGACTGCTATTATGTCCTTCCTCGTCCTTAATAATAATAATAAGAGTAAAGTTGGAAGGGACCTTGGAGGTCATCTAGTCCAACCCCCTGCTCAGGCAGGAAACCCTATACCATTTCGGACAAATGGCTGTCCAGTCTCTTAAAAGCTTCCAGTGTTGGAGCATTCACCGCTTCTGGAGGCAGGTTGTTCCACTGATTAATTGTTTTAACTGTCAGGAAGTTTCTCCTTAGTTCTAGGTTGCTTCTCTCCTTGATCAGTTTCCATCCTTTGTTTCTTGTCCTGCCTTCAGCTGCTTTGGAGAATAGCTTGACTCCCTCTTCTTTGGGGCAGCCCCTGAGATAGTGGAAGACTGCTATCATGTCCCCCCTCGTCCTTCTCTTCATGAAACTAGACATACCCAATTCCAGCAGCCGTTCCTTATATGCTTTATAAGGACTGATGACCAGTCCCCTAATCATCTTTGTTGCTCTTCTCTGTACTCTTTCTAGAGTCTCAACATCTTTTTTACATCGTGGTGACCAAAACCGGATGCAGTACTCCAAGTGTGGCCTTACCAAGGCCTTGTAAAGTAGTATTAACATATCACGTGATCTTGAGTCTATCCCTCTGTTAATGCAGCCTAGCACTGTGTTGGCCTTTTTGGCAGCTGCAGCACACGGCTGGCTCCTATTTAAGTGATTGTCCACTAGGACTCCGAGATCCCTCTCACAGTTGCTACTATTGAGCAAGGTACCCCCTATACTATACCTATGGATTTGGTTTTTCTTGCCTACTGCAAGGAGAGGCTCCTTCCTTGTCACTGGAGTTTTCGTCCTATAGTGAATCAGTGCAATCCGTAGAGCGTCGGACTAGATGACCTCAGAGTTCCCTTTCAACCCTATGATTCCAGAGATTCTTTTTAAAAGGTACAATTAAAAGACAAGGGAGGAAAGAAACAAGGCAAAACATATTTTCCCCCCCAGTAATTAACCTCTGGATAAACAAGAAACCGAATCTGATAAAGGAGCAGTGAAAGAACTCCACCCCAGGGTTGGCCGAATTCCTATCTATCAAGAACTTGTAATCTATTATAATATCTGTAAAGAGATCAGGACAGAAAAACTATCAGCAAACGTAATGTCTCGGGAGACGCTCAGTCATCCAGGCACTTAGGAGGCATCTGGACTTTCCTGTTTTTCTTTGAAGACGTTTCGCTTCTCCTCCCAGAAGCTTCTCCAGCTCTGACTGCATGGTGGGGAATGGAAGGATTTATACTCCTGGCAGACAGCTGGTCATTTGCCTCCTTTTGGAGAGTCGTTGAGGCCACTTGGAGATTTGTCTGTGTCCGCAGGGTCACAGTCTACAACAAAGTCCTTTCAGCAGTTCCAAAAAGGCTCCCCAGCCATTTGCACTACTCAGCTGACACAGATAAACCCTTCTCGGAATTGCGGAAAGGACCGTGTTGTAGACTGGAGATGGGTGATGACGTACCACAGATAAACCTCCAAGTGGCCTCAACGACTCTCTAAAACAGTGGTTCTCAACCTTTTTAATGCCGCGACCCCCAACTGGTCGTAAGTTGAGGACTACCCAACTGATCGTAAGTCGAGGACTACCCAACCAGTTGTAAGTCAAGGACTTTCCCTTCCCGGGAGTGTCACGCATGCGTGGTGCCGCCCCCTGTGCTGGCCGAGGCGTAGCTGGCAAGCGGCAGAGACGGCGCAGGCCGACCACCAGCTGGGCCACCAGCTGGCCCAGTCCAAGGGAGGTAAGGCACCCGCCGGGCCCCACGTGCACCAGCAACCCTCCCTGCGCCCGCAGGGGTGGAAGCAGGGGTGGAAGCTTCCAGACAGCTGGCCTTCGCTGCAGACAACTTGCAGCACCGTTTGCAGAATGGGACTTTTGGCGGGCTCAGCAGGGCAGAGACAGCCTGGACAATTCCTATTGGCTTTTGAAAGCCAATAGAATTAGACTCTATTCAAGATAGTCTATTCTATTGGCTTTCAAAAGCCAATAGAATAAAAGGGAGTAGCACAGCTAAGGAAAAGGGGGGAAAATGGCGGACTGCGTTGTTTGGCGACCCCCGTGAAATGGTCGTTCGATCCCAAATGGGGTTGCAACCCACAGGTTGAGAACCGCTGCTCTAAAAGGAGGCAAATGACCGGCTGTCTGCCAGGAGTATAAATCCTTCCCTTCCCCACCATGTCAGAGCTGATGAAGCTTCTTGGAGGAGAAATGAAACGTCTTCAAAGGAGAAACAAGAAAGTCCACTTGCCTCCTGAAAAATAAACACCTTTGGGATATCAGCAAGCTTCGCTCCTCCTTGCACTGATGACGTGACCTAGCAGGGGAATGAAACGTCTGCAGGAAAACTGTCCAGTTGACAGAACCCCGCAGACTCACCGTATCCTTCGAAATACAGATAGTCCTCAACATACAACCGTAACGAAGCCAGTCCATTACAGTCACAAGTTGTAACGGTCATAAAGCAGGTCACTCACATGATCCACCCGATTTTGCAACCTTTCTGAGGGAGCCATTAAGTGAACGCTGCTGTGGTTAAACGAACACTGCCATCATTAAGCGAACCCACGGTTGGCTATGGGCACAGTTTTACTGAAAACTGGAGGTAATTTCCCTTTTTTTTTTTGACAAAACTGTCATAAACCACAGCCACTTGACCGACCCGACTTACACCCATCACAACATACAACTGTAATCGGCAGACTCCATTACAATCCTAAATTGAAGATTACTGCTGGGGGGGGGAGTGACGTTGGAACTTTAGAACTGGGTTGTAACTCAATTTTTTCAGGTAGATCGTAACTTTGAATGGTCGCTAAGTGATCGGTTATAAGTGGAGGACTCTTTGTATATTTTACTCAGTGGCTCTAGAGTCATTCTCTGATTTTAATTGGAGTTTTCCACTCAACCATTTCCTGGTGTTTGCACAAAAATTTACAAGGATAGGACAGGATAGGCTATAAAATAGAATATGGGATAGGATAGGATAGGATAGGATAGGATAGGCTATAAAATAGAATATGGGATAGGATGAGACAGGATATAGAATAGAATATAGAATAGGATAGGATAGGATATAAAATAGAATATAGGATAGGATAGGATAGGATATAAAATAGAATATGGGATAGGATGAGACAGGATATAGAATAGAATATAGAATAGGATAGGATATAAAATAGAAGGATAGGATAGGATAGGATAGGATAGGATAGGATAGGATAGGATAGGATAGAAAATAGAATATGGGATAGGATGACAGGATATAGAATAGAATATAGAATAGGATAGGATATAGAATAGAATATAGGGTAGGATGAGACAGGATATAGAATAGGATTGGACAGGATATAAAATAGAATATAGGATAGGATAGGATATAAAATAGAGTATGGGATAGGATAGAATAGAATAGGATAGAATAGAATAGGATAGGATAGGATATAAAATAGAATATAGGATAGGATAGGATAGGATATAAAATAGAATATGGGATAGGATGAGACAGGATATAGAATAGAATATAGAATAGGATAGGATAGGATATAAAATAGAAGGATAGGATAGGATAGGATAGGATAGGATGGGATAGGATAGAAAATAGAATATGGGATAGGATGACAGGATATAGAATAGAATATAGAATAGGGTAGGATATAGAATAGAATAGGATAGGATAGAAAATAGAATATGGGATAGGATGACAGGATATAGAATAGAATATAGGATAGGATGACAGGATATAGAATAGAATATAGAACAGGATAGGACAGGATATAAAATAGAATATAGGATAGGATATAAAATAGAGTATGGGATAGGATAGAATAGAATAGAATAGAATAGGATAGGATAGGATAGGATAGGATAGGATAGAATAGAATAGAATAGAATATAGAATATAGACTATAGACTATAGACTATAGACTATAGAATATAGAATAGAATAGAATATAGAATAAAATAGAATATAGAATGGAATGGAATAGAATATAGAATAGAATATAGAATGGAATAGAATAGAATAATAACATTATTGTCATTTTAAATATACTAATCAGCATACATTAAAATGAGATTTTGTGGCATACATAGATGAGTTCAATGGCAGGTTGTTTCAGATGACCGGCCATCCTTGCGGCACCCATCCCAGTGTCCCAAATCTTTGGGATACGAAAGTGCCCGAGAACTTCCCGTCTCGGACTTTCTTGCTCCTGAATCTCCACCCAATGCTTCTCGCTCGGCCTTTGACCTTCTTCCTCCTCCTTCTAGGTCTTCGAAGACGGCGTCACCTTGACCAAGTCGGTGGTTTCTTCCACCGTCCAGGCGGCCGGCGAAGCCAAGGGCCGCATGACCCAGAAAGTGACCGCCGCTGTCGGCCTGACCAAGGACATCGTCCAGGACGGCATCACCTTGACCAAATCCGTGGTGAACTCCACCGTCACCACGGCCCGGAGCGCCGCCAGTGGAGCCAAGGATCTCATGACTCATCGGGCGGCTGACGTGGTCAAGCTGGGCAAGCAGACCCTCAACGAAGGCGTTGACCTGACCCGATCGGTGGTGTCCACCACGGTCAACGCCGCCCGTCAGATGCAGAGCTCGGGGGCCGTCCAGGAAGGGGTGGAGATGGCCACGTTGTTCCGGCAAGCCGTGGCCAGCGGGGTGGACACCGTGTTGGATAAGACGGAGCAGATGGTGGACTATTACCTTCCTGTGTCCGAAGAAGAGCTCGGTAAGAGCAGAGGCGCCACGTTCTTGAACACGGCACCTTTGATTACCCAATCCAGGCCGTCCTCGACTTACGACAGTTCCTTTAGTGACCGTTCAAAGTTACAACGGCACTCCAAAAAAGGGACGTACGGCCGTTTTTCCACGCTGAATGACCGTTGCAGCATTCCCCCGTGGTCGCGTGATTTCTATTCCGATGCTTGACAACCGGTTCATACTTACGACGGTCGCAGTATCCCGGGGTCACCGTTTCTGGAGGCAGGTTGTTCCACTGGTTAATTGTTCTAACTGTCAGGATGTTTCTCCTTAGTTCCAAGTTGCTTCTCTCCTTGAAGCAACAGTGGAAACTAACCAAGGAGAGAAGCAACCTGGAACTAAGGAGAAACGTCCTGAGAGTTAGAACAATTAACCAGTGGAACTACCTGCCTCCAGAAGTGGTGAATGCTCCAACACTGGAAGTTTTTAAGAAGAGACTGGACAGCCATTTGTCCGAAATGGTATAGGCCTTTCCTGTCCGAGCAGGGGGTTGGACTAGATGACCTCTAAGGTCCCTTTCCTTCCTTTCCTTCCTTTCCTTCCTTTCCTTTCCTTTCCTTTCCTTTCCTTTCCTTTCCTTTCCTTCCCTCCCCTCCCTCCCTCCCTTCCTTCCTTCCTTCCCTTTCTTGTGGGCCAGCCCTCTCATCCACAGGCGACTCATGAGGCAGACAAAATTTGAAGATGAAAAGGCTGGGGCGGCTGATCCTTCCTGGGCAGGAAGGGGACCTGTTCACACCTGCTTTGTCCTCCCTGCAGCCCAGCTGGCCACCGAGGTCCACGGCGTCAGCCAGGCCGCCATCGACCAGCAGCAGAGGGAGCAGAGCTATTTTGTCCGTCTGGGGTCCCTCTCCAGCAAACTCCGTTCCCGGGTCTACCGACATTCCCTGAATCGGCTTCATGTGGTCCAGGAAAACACTCAGGACATGCTCACCCAGCTCCAGTATGTGATTAACCTGGTAAGCCGGCCCTGGGTTCAAATCAGTGCAATCCAAGGTACAGGTAATCCTCGACGTACAACCGTTCGTTTAGCAACCATCCAAAGTTAGAATGGCACTGAAAAAAGTGACTTATGGGCTCAGTGCTCTTCAATGTCTTTATCAATGATCTAGATGAGGGGATAGATGGGGAACTCATCAAATTTGCAGACGACACCAAGCTGGCAGGAATAGCCAACACTCCAGAAGACAGGCTTAGGATACAGGAGGATCTGGACAGACTTGAACACTGGGCGCCATCTAACAAAATGAAATTCAATGGTGAAAAAAGTAAAGTTCTACATTTAGGCAAGAAAAACCAAATGTGCAGGTATAGGGGGTACCTTGCTCAATAGTAGTAACTGCAAGAGGGATCTCGGAGTCCTAGTGGACAATCATTTAAATATGAGCCAGCTGTGTGCTGCAGCTGCCAAAAAAGCCAACACAGTGCTGGGCTGCATTAACAGAGGGATAGAGTCAAGATCATGTGTTAATATCACTTTACAATGCTTTAGTAAGGCCACACTTGGAATACGGCATCCAGTTTTGGTCACCATGATGTAAAAAAGATGTTGGGACTCTAGAAAGAGTGCAGAGAAGAGCAACAAAGATGATTAGGGGACTGGAGGCTAAAACATACAAGGAACGGCTGCTGGAATTGGGTATGTCTAGTTTAATGAAGAGAAGGACGTGGGGGGACATGATAGCAGTGCTCCAATATCTCAGGGGCTGCCCCAAAGAAGAGGGGGGTCAACTTATTCTCCAAAGCGCCTGAAGGCAGGACAAGAAGCAACGGATGGAAACTAACCAAGGAGAGAAGCAACCTAGAACTAAGGAGAAACTTCCTGACAGTGAGAACAATTAGCCAGTGGAACAACCTGCCTCCAGAAGCGGTGAATGCTCCAACACTGGAAGTTTTTAAGAAGAGACTGGACAGCCGTTTGTCTGAAATGGTATAGGGTTACCTGCCTAAGCAAGGGGTTGGACTAGATGACCTTCAAGGTCCCTTCCAACTTTTTATTATTATTATTATTATTATTATGGATCATCGCACAGTCAGCCTGGATTTGGCATTTTGTCTACCTATTGAGTCCTTACCCAGGACCTGGGATAGGCAGATGTGGATGTTTGATGGTATTACAGATATCGTCGCAGGGGGGATGGAAGCAGTTCCTAGTAAGGCAGCCTTTTGCAATTGACTAATAGCGAATTTGTCAATGCCAATGATGGTGTTCAAGTGGTGTTCCAGTTGTTTTGGGATTGCACCCAAGGCACCTATCACTATTGGTAGTACCCTTGCTTGATGATGATGATGATGATGATGATGATGATTATATTTTACACTTAGTGACGGTTGCAGCATCCACATGGTCATCGGGGGTTTGGGGTGGGGTCGTGTTCCGACGTGCGACGACCTGCTTTATAATGAAGATCGCAATATACAATTGCAGGTTCAATTTAGGACTGCCTGCATCGGGTTACAAGCTGAATAGTATTACACCGCTTTCTTAAATTGTTTTGATTTCTGCTTGGCTGGCAGGTGGCACATGTGAAAAATAGCGCAGGGAGTCAGTTCCAGGAAGCACAACAGAAACTTAACCAAACTTTGCTTAAATGGACCCAAATTCAGCCGGAAGAGGATCAGGAAAGAAGAAAGAAAGAAAACACCCCACAGCAGGTATTCTATGCTTCCAAGTACAGGTAATTCCCGATTTATGACTAGGTGGATTTATTGCATGTTAAACTATTGTTCATTGCAGGGTTGTTGTTGTTGTTGTTGTTGTCAAATTTGGCTGCTTTCAGATACGTGGATCCCATCTGAAAGTTACTGAGAAAGACTGTCATAGACACTACGGAGGTCCAGGAACACGGGTGTGTGTGTACTTCAATGTTATCTCTATCTGTTTGCTGCAGCTTTCCACTTTGACCTTCCCTGCAGAAGCCAGGAACATAGCTGGCTGGGGAAGATAGGTGGACTTCAACTCCCAGAATGCTGCTGGGGAATTCTGGGAGTTGAAGTCCACCCATCTTCCAGAGGCCCTATTTGAAAAAAAAACACTAGTTAATGGCAAGTCCCAATCACAAAGTCTCAATCGCCAAGCTATGCTCATGTTGGTGATGCACCAAATTTGTCCTCCGCAGGTCGAGCCGTTGACTTTGGCCATGTTACGATCCCTCATCCAAAATCTGAGTCCTGCTTACACCTGGCTGATGTCCACCGTGGAAGTGCTGCCCAGAAACCTCCGGGAAAGAGTGGACCAGACTCAGAGTAACTTCCAGCAGCTCCATCGCTCCTTCTCTTCTGCCGAGTCCTTCCAGGATCTGCCCTCCGGCCTCCTCACCCAGAGCCAGGAGATGATTTCCCAAGCCCGAGAGGTTCTCCACACGTTGGCCGAACACCTCATCCAGATCACCCCTCTGAATTGGATCGTGGGGCCCTTCCGATCCCAGGCAGGAGGATCGGGGACCCCCCAGGTGGTGCAGCTGAAGGAGACGAGCAAAGAGGCCAGGGCACCCTCGTTGGAGAAGGTGGCAGCTAAAAGGGCAAAGAGGATGGAGAAGACAACTGAGGAGGACCCGAGAGAGTCCACAGAGGCGATGGGGGCCTTGAAGGAGCTGTTAGCGGGGTCCGAGAAGGCCCCCCAAGAGAAGAACTAGGAGAGGCAAAGTCTCCAGGGCTGTCCACAAGGCGTGGTCAAGAGTCTCCAGGTGTTGACCACAACAGAGTGTTGATGGCCTCTTTGGGACCACCATCTTCTTTGACCACACCCTGTGGACATCCTGGGAGCCTCTGAAGGGCCGGGCAAGTTGCCCTAAAAGTTTTGCAGCTCTTCCTCCCCAACTACAATGCCCCCCCACCCCCCACCCCATGATGCTGGAGGCCTTCTCCCAAAAAGTCAGATGAAGGAGACCCAATTTCCAAGAGGCGAACTCCAGTCCCTGTGAAAAGAGAAACAGGAAAGCTAAAGGCTTGCAGAGAGATAGAGATAGAGAGAGAGAGAGAGAGAGAGAGAGAGAGAGAGAGAGAGAGAGAGAGCAGTGGATCTCAACCTGTGGGTCGGGACCCCATTTGGGGTCGAACGACCATTTCACGGGGGTCGCCAAACAACGCAGTCCGCCATTTTTTTCACCTTTTCCTTAGCTGTGCTACTTTTGAAAGCCAATAGAATAGACTCTCTTGAATAGAGTCTAATTTTATTGGCTTTCAAAAGCCAATAGGAATTGTCCAGGCTGTCTCTGCCCTGCTGAGCCCGCCAAAAGTCCCATTCTGCAAACGATGCTGCACCAGTTGAGTAGTCCTCGACTTACGACCGGTTGAGTAATCCTCGACTTACGACCGGTTGGAGGTGGCGGCATTAAAAAGGTTGAGAACCACTGAGATAGAGATAGAGATAGAGAGAGAGATCTGCTTGGATCCATCTTCTCCCCAAAGGGACCCAGATCCTTGGAGAGGGGGCCACTTTCCTTCCCAGGGCTCCGGGGATCCATTGTGTTAATTTCCAAGAAAGCCCATCTTAGACTTCTGCTTTGATTCAGAACTGCAATCAAAATAGAATGGAACGGAACAGAACGGAATGGAATAGAACCTGGAAGGGATCTTGGAGGTCTTCTAGTCCAACCCCCCACTCAAGTAGGAGAACCTATACTCATAGTGGCGAACCCATGGCACGCGTGCCACAGAGCCCTCTCTGTGGGCGCGCGCGCCATCGCCCCAGTCCTAGGCCTTCAGCTGGGTTTTATAAAACCTTTTCGCTTTGGGCCTCCGCCGCCGTGTGCAAAAAAAAAAAAAAGTTCAATCAATCCATTTCAACTTCTCGCGGGGAAAAAAAAAGATCTCGCAAAGTTGGATTTGATTGATTGAACTTTTTAGTCCCAACCAGTCTGCCATTACCACCGCAGCCATGCCCATCCAATGGGCCACGCCCACCCAATGGACCACATCTACCAAATGGGCCACGCCCACCCGGCACCGGACGATACATAAGTGGGTTTTGGGTTGCAGTTTGGGCACTCGGTCTCTAAAAGGTTTGCCATCACTGATCTATACCATCTCAGACAAGTGAAGGTCCATCCTCTTCTTAAAAATCTCCAGAGATGGGGCGCCCATGATTTCTGGTGGGAAGCTGTTCCACTGGTTAATTGTCCTCACCGTTAGGAAGTTCCTCCTTAATTCCAGGTTGCTTCTCTCTTTGGTCAGTTTCCAGCCATTGTTTCACATCCTTCCCTCTGGTGCCTTGGAGAATAATTTGACCCGCTCTTCTTTGTGGCAGCCCCTCAAATACTGGAACACTGCTATCACATCTCCCTTTTCTTCTTTTCTTTAGACTAGCCAGACCCAAGTCCCGCAGCTGTTCTTTGTATGTTTTAGTCTCCAGCCTTGGATCATCTTAGTTGTTCTTCAGAGTATGGGAGATGAGTTGGTCAGGATCTGGTCCCTAAATGGGTGGCTGGTATTTATTTGGACCTCTGTGCCAGAGAGAGAAACAATTGTCTTTTTTTCCCCCATTTTAACCAGTGGAACGACTTGCCTCCCAAAGTTGTGGGTTCTCCAACACTGGAGGTTTTCAAGAAGAGATTGGACAACCATTTGTCCTGAATGGTATAGGGTCTCCTGCCTGAGCAGGGGGCTGGACTAGAAGACCTTCAAGGTCCCTTCCAACTCTGTTATCCTCTTATTCTGTTATTTCCGTTGAGCCCAGCATTTGATCATCTAATTGAGCATTAAGTGTAGCACCTAATTCCAAGGAAGGAATCGACAGAAAGGAATTCTATTTCCTCCTCTTAGCCAAGCGTCTAGTCCCCATTAGTGCAGAGATCAGCTTGTAAATAGGTGTAAGGCTGGGCGGCTGAGGTCAAAAGCTTAATGGCGAAGATGGACTTGAAGATGATATTTGAAGGCAGGCAGAAGAAACGGTGACTTTATTTAACTCAGGAGTCTTCAAAGACTTGGCCCTTTGATGACTTGTGGACTTCAACTCCCAGAATTCCTCAACCAGGCACGCTGGCTGAGGAATTCTGGGAGTTGAAGTCCACAAGTCATAAAAGGGCCAAGTTTGAAGTCCCCTGAATTAGAGAGGGCTGTCTCATGCATGAGGCGATCTACACTCTGATTGGTTGTTGTGGGTATGAAGGGGGCATTTCCCATTTTTCCCGCCTTTTTTCCTCTGTGTGTTCTGTCCACAATTTGATTTACCTCAGGATATCCCTATGTGCCTGACTATCTTGTGTTTTTCCTTTCTGGATGATGATAAAAATGTAAATTTAAATGTGCCTGGCTGAGGAATTCTGGGAGTTGAAGTTCACAAGTCATAAAAGGGCTACGGTTGAAGACCCCTGCTTGTGGACTTCCACTCCCAGAATTCCTCAGCCAGACACGCTGGCTGAGGAATTCTGGGAGCGGAAGTCCACAAGTCATCAAAGGGCCAAGTTTGAAGAGCCCTGAGTTAACTCTGGGGGCGGGAGGAGTTCAGAATGGGTCCAGCTGAATTTCCATGAAGCTAAGCTTTGACCAGTTTCCTGTGGATCCTTCGTTTGTCTCCATGCTGTAGGAAAATAAATTTTAAAAACATGTATGCCAGTTTCCATCATCTTTTGCAGTCGAAGAGAGATTGTGGGGGCTTGGGAGGGAGGGGTGCATAAAAGGAGGCCACAAGTGATGGGTGGATTTTGATTTAGAGCAGAGGTGGGGGAATGGTGGCCCTTTTATGACTGGTGGACTTCAACTCCCAGAATTCCTCAGTCAGCCATTTTGATGAAACTGCGGGCTTCGATCCAGATCAGGGAATCTTCAAACTTGGCCCTTTTATGACTGGTGGACTTCAACTCCCAGAATTCCTGGTTCAATTGAAGCGGAGATCATAAAAGGGCTGTCTCCCCCAGCCCCCATTTAGAGCCTGCCAATTTTCAAGATAGCATGGACTGGTGTTGAATGAAGTCCACCTGAAAGCACCAGATTGGGGAAAGGTCTATTGATAGACGGATGGAAAGATGGGTGGGTGGATGGATGGATGGAAAGGTGGGGGGATGAATGGGTCGGTGGAGGGATGGGTGGATGCATGGAGGGAGGGAGGGATGGCTAAAAAGGAAACAAAAAAATCCTAGACAAAAATACTCAAAACAATAACTTATCAAGAACACCCCGACCAACACTGACAGGGCAAGTCGCTGGGTATAAATAGAGAACCAACTTCCAGCACTGAGAAGGTTACCTAGTTGGGTAATGAAACGTCTGCAAGAAAACAATCAAGGACCCCACAGTTCTCCTCCTCCTCCTCCTTTCCACACCCACCCTTCCTTCTAGCCCTAGTGATGTTACCTAGTTGGGTCATGAATCGTCTGCAAGGAAACCACCAAGGTCAGAGAGCACCAGGGACCCCTCAGATATTCAGCCCTACAGATATTCTTCTCTATTTGATGACATGGCTGTACTCACCCTCTCCACTTCCCTGGGAAGCATCCCCACAACCCAGGGAGCTGAATGACACCCCATCGTTCCCGCCCAATCCCACCTCAGCAAAGATATCAAGCTGCAGATGTTTGAGTTCAACCTCCTTAGAAGAAGCCCCCGATCTTGATGCCTGCTGGGTCCTGAAATTACCCACAGAAAACAGGCTGGGCCCTGGTTTGCAAACCGTCATTTCCGGCAGAACCACAGCCTAGCAAACTGGTTCCTTCCTTCCTCTTCTCTCTCTCTCTTTCTCTCTCTCTCCCTTCCTTTCTCTTCTTTCTTTCTTTCCTTCTTTCTCTTTTTCTCTCTCCCTTCCTTCCTTCCCTTCTCTTTTTCTTTTTTTCTCTCTCTCTCTTCCTTCCTCTTCTTTCTTTCTTTCTTTCTTTCTTTCTTTCTTTCTTTCTTTCTTTCTTTCTTTTTCTTTCTCTCTCTCTCTCTCTCTCTCTCCCTCCCTCCCTCCCTTTCCTCTCTCCCTCCCTCTCTCTCTTTGCTTTCCTACTTGAATACAAAATACACATGAAAATAAAGGCAATAGGAAAGTTAGAGAAAAGAAGGTGGGGACAGAGATGTGAAGTAAAGGGAAAATTGAAACAAAGCAGTGCTGTCCTGCATTTTTTTTCAGCGTCGCAAAATCCAGAGCAAAGTTACAATCTCAACTGTATTAATTTCACCTAAAAAAGATCAGCCGCTTTCCAGATCAAACCACTGGTTCAAATCTAAAGTCAACATTTCATCGACCTTTGTTTTGAGCACAGAGGCCAAAGTCCGGAATGAATTTCCCAAAGATCAACACAACTAGTTAAACTTTCTTTTCCTGGCCACCTCTGCCAGCTCCATCACTTCTCCCAGGATGGGAATTGAAATAATAGAAATGAGTTATTATTTGCCCAAAGGCGTGTGCCCCCCCCCCCGTGTGTGTGTGTGTGTGTGTGTGTGTGTGAAGAACTCACTTCCGAGCCAGGAAAGAGAAAGAAGCTTCTGCTGCTGCTTCTATGCAAGACCAACTTCCTACTTTGGGCTGACTTTTTTTCACCCAACTGGGAGGAAAGACAGAGAACTAGGAGGAGCAAAGATTTGGTGATTTCCGCCTCCTGCTATCCAGACCCAGCTCAACCCTGGCAGTGAGGCCTCAGCCCCAGGTAAGTCTTCGTGGGCAACCCCCTCGCAGAGACACTCAACCCTCTTTCCAAAATCAGTTGGGGTGGAGCAGAAGAGCAACTAAGATGATCCAAGGCCTGCAGACTGAAACTGGAGGCTAGAACATATGAGGAACAGTTGCTGGAATTGGGTCTGTCTAGTTTAATGAAGAGAAGGACGAGGGGGGGGGGGACAGGATAGTAGGGTTCCAGTATCTCAGGGGCTGCCCCAAAAAAGAGGGAGTCAAGCTATTCTCCAAAGCCCCTGAAGGCAGGACAAGAAGCAACGGATGGAAACTAACCAAGGAGAGAAGCAACCTGGAACTAAGGAGAAACTTCCTGACAATTAGAACAATTAATCAGCGGAACAACCTGCCTCCAGAAGCGGTGAATGCTCCAACACTGGAGATTTTTAAGAAGAGACTGGACAGCCATTTGTCTGAGATGGTATAGGCCAGGGGTCTTCAAATTTGGCCCTTTTATGACTTGTGGACTTCAACTCCCAGAATTCCTGAGCTGGCATGGTTCAACATGGAAACCTCTCCATTTCTCCTCAGCATGGCTGGCTCAGGAATTCTGGGAGTTGAAGTCCATCATAAAAGGGCCAAGGATGCCTACCCCTGTTATAGGGTTTCCTGCCTGAGCAGGGTTGGACTAGATGACCTCCAAGGTCCCTTCCAACATTATTATTATTATTATCATAGATCATCGCACAGTCAGCCAGATGTTCAGACTGGATTTGGCATTTTGTCTACCTATCGAGTCCTTACCCAGGACCTGGGATAGGCAGATGTGGATGTTTGATGGTATTACAGGTATCGTCGCAGGATGGAAGCAGTTCCTAATAAGGCCGCCTTTTGCCATTGACTAATAGCGAATTTGTCAATGCCAATGGTGTTCAAGTGGTGCTCCAGTTGTTTTGGGATTGCACCCAAGGAGCCTATTACTATTGGTACTACCCTTGCTTACTTTTGCCACAGTCTTTCTATTTCTATTTGTAGGTCTTTGTATTTTGTTATCTTCTCCAGTTCTTTCTCGTCTATTCTGCTGTGTCCAGGCACTGCCGTGTTCACTATCCAGACTTTTTTGTCTTTCTTATCGACAATTGTTAAGTCTGGGGTGTTATGTTGCAGGTGCTTGTCTGTTTGAATTCTGAAGTCCCAGAGCAGTTTAATTTTACCATTTTCTATGACTTATAATAATAATAATAACAATAATAATAATGATTTTATTATTATTATTATTATCATCATCATTATTATTATATGAAGATCAGTTGCAGGACTTGGGTTTGGCTAGTCTAAAGGAAAAAAAAGAAATAGGGGTGACACGATGGCAGTGTTCCAGTATTTGAGGGGCTGCCACCAAGGGGAGGGGGTCAACTTATCCTCCAAAGCACCAGAAGGCAAGAAACAATGGAGGAAAACTGACAGAGGAGCGAAGCAATCTGGAATTAAGGAGAAACTTCCTGACAATTAACCAGTGGAACTGCTTCCCTCCAGAAGTTGTGGGTGTTTCATCACCGGACGTTTTTAAGAAGAGGCTGGACAGCCCCTTCTTTGAAATAGTACAGGTGGTCCTCGACTTACAACCGTTCATTTAGGGCCGTTCAAATTTACAACAGCGGTGGAAAAAGTGGCTGATGACCATTTTCCACAGTTACGACTCTGGTGGCAATCCCCATGATCCTGTGATCAAAATGCTCGGCAACTGGTTTGTACTTAGGACTGTTGCTGTGTCCCAGGGATTCTGTGAGCCCCCTTCTGCGACCACAAAGACAATGGGGAAGCCAGATTCACTTAAGGACCGGGATACTGACTTATCAACTGCAGTGATTCGCTTAACAGCTGTGGCAAGAAAGAGGGTAAAATTTGGCCAAACTCACTTAACAAATGTTAAGTTGGGGGCTCAATTGTGGCCGTAAGTCAAGGACTAGCTGTATTGGACAGGAGTCTTCAAACGTGGCAACTTTAAGGCTTGTGGACTTCAACTCCCAGAATTCCTCAGCCGCCCTGGGAGTTGAAGGCCACAAACTCTGGACTAATAACAACCCTTCCCACAACGCCTGCTGTCTAAGGAAAACTATTTTTAAAACAACTATTTGAGAGTTAAGAAGCCATTTGGACTGGGATTTCTTCTTTTCCTCCAAAGTAGTGTTTTTCAACCTTGACAATTTTAAGGTATGTGAACTTCAACTCCCAGAATTCCACACCCAGCAATGCTGGCTGTGGAATTCTGGGAGTTGAAGTCCACATACCTTAAAATTGTCAAGGTTGAGAAACACTGCTCCAAAGGTTTGCAGGGAATTCAGCGACCTTTGCAGAAAGTTCTGGAATATTTTTTCATGCAGGAAGTTTCAGATTTGGGGATTCAGAGGGAAAGGCGGGCCAAAACGGGCTAATTTTTTCGAAAGGCTGATTTGCCAGCAGTTTGATTCTCTCACCAGCTCGAAGTTGACTTGGCATTCTATCCTTCCGAGGTCGGTAAAACGAGGAGCCAGATTGTCGCGGGAGCAATCTGCTGAATCTGTAAACCGCTTAAAGAGGGCTGTAAAGCACTGTGAAGTGGTATATAAGTCTACGTGCTATCTATCTTCTGTCTGTCTATCTATCCTTCCATCCATCATCTATCTACATCTACTTGTATCATCTATCTACATCTATCTGTCTATCTCTCTCTCTGTATCATATCATCTATTTATATCTATATCTATTCGTATCATCTGTCTGTCTGTCTCTACCTACCTACCTGCCTGCTTGCCTGCCTATCTATCTATCTATCTATCTATCTATCTATCTATCTATCTATCTATCTATCTATCTATCTATCTATCTATCTATCTACCTACCTACCTACCTACCTACCTACCTATCTCTATATCTCTGAATAAGCTGAATTTGTAAACCACTTAGAGAGGGCTGTAAAGCACTGTGAAGCGGAATATAAGTCTAAGTGCTATTGCTACTAAGTTAACAACTGCAGCAATTCACTTAATAACGGTGACAAAAAAGGTCGTAAAACGGGGCAAAACTCACTTATCAACTGTCTTGCTTTGGAAGGAAAATTTTGGGCCGTGTTAGGATTGTAAATAGAGGACGGCCTGTAGTATGGGGATAGGAGACCACCAGGAAACGTCTAAACTCTCTATACTGCCACCCAGAAAACAATCTGAGCTCAACATGCCGGCACCGATGCTTTCTATCCAGCTGTGCATTGAATGATTTTCCACTTCTGGAGCAGGGCAATTTATGACTTGCTTACAACCTTGTGGTTGAGGGCCACACCCAGGATCTTGAGAAGGTCCTGGCGTCATCAATGCCTTCTATTCTTCCGGAACCCTTAAAAACAAGACAAACCGGGTTGGGCACCTTGAAGCTTAGCAATCAAAGGAAGTATCTGACTTGTCTCGTCTTGCCTCAGTGCGTTTGAAGACTTTTCTTCCGGGATCAGAGGCACCATAGTGTGAGCTGGCTAGAAAAGGATGCAGATAGATGAAGTTGTTATTTTTGCCACCATGTTTGAATGTTGTCCCCTCCCTCCAGGATTGCGGAAAAGAGAGGAGAGGGGCCTGTTGATTTTCGCCCAGATCAGATGGTTCCCTCCCAGGTGAGTAGAACACACTTAGTCCTCGACTTAGGACGCTAATTGAGCCTGGAATTAGGATTGTAAGTAATTGCGGTCATTAAGCAGGTCACCTGTGATTGCACGCAATTTTATGTTGCTGGAGGCAGCCGTTAAGCAAACAGGGGGGTCTTTGTGCAAATGTAGCAAGTTGTGAAGGAAACATGGCAGGTCAAGCTATTCTCCAAAGCGCCTGAGGGCAGGACAAGAAGCAACGGATGGAAACTAATCAAGGAGAGAAGCAACCTGGAACTAAGGAGAAACTTCCTGACAGTGAGAACAATTAACCAGTGGAACAACCCGCCTCCAGAAGCTATGAATGCTCCAACACTGGAAGTTTTAAAAAGAGACTGGACAGCCATTTGTCCGAAATGGTGTAGGGTTTCCTGCCTGAGCAAGGGGTTGGACTAGATGACCTCCAAGGTCCCTTCCAACTTTATTATTATTATTGTTGTTGTTAAAGTGAATTCATTTTATTGGGCATTTTATTCCAGGACTCATAATACGCTATAATATAGCTTTCGTTATTGAGATAATACACTGTATATTATAGACAGAATATTACCGTTTTTCTCAATCATAGCAATTTTAAGTTCTAGGTAGCTGGGAACTCTGAATAATAATAATAATAATAATAATAATAATACCATCAAACATCCACATCTGCCTATCCCAGGTCCTGGGTAAGGACTCAATAGGTAGACAAAATGCCAAACCCAGTCTGAACATCTGGCTGACTGTGCAATGATCCATAATAATAATTAAATAAAGTTGGGAAGGACCTTGGAGGTCATCTAGTCCAACCTCCTGCTCAGGCAGGAAACCCTATACCATTCCAGACAAATGGCTGTCCAGTCTCTTCTTAAAAACTTCCAGTGTTGGAGCATTCACCACTTCTGGAGGCAGGTTGTTCTACTGGTTAATTGTTCTAACCGTCAGGAAGTTTCTCCTTAGTTCTAGTTTGCTTCTCTCCTTGATTAGTTTCCATCCGTTGCTTCTTGTCCTATGTTCAGGCGCTTTGGAGAATAGCTTGACTCCCTCTTCTTTGGGGCAGCCCCTGAGATACAGGAACACGGCTATCCTGTCCCCCCTCGTCCTTCTCTTCATTAAACTAGACATACCCAATTCCAGCAACCGTTCCTTATATGTTTTAGCCTCCAGCCCCCTGATCATCTTTGTTGCTCTTCTCTGCCCTCTTTCTAGAGTCTCAACATGTTGGTGTGTATGTACGTAAGTACATACATATGCGTTCGTTCATTGATTCATTCATTGATTCATTCATTCAGGCTCTCCAAACCAGAGTTTTATTCTCTTCTTTTTCTCTTTTTTTCCAGCCTTCAAGTTTGGCAAAAATTACGAGGCCCACCTCTCCCGTAGCATTACAGAGGTTTGCCCTAGGCAACATTTAGGCTTCCGGGTATCCGACCTCTGATAAAGGCTGGGGAGCCGTGCCAGTCCTCAGCCTGTGCCACCCCTTTGTGGATGTAACATGCCCTCCAATTTGGACCCAGCTTTGCCCAGGATGACAGGGACTCCCCAGGGAGATCTAGGCTTTGAAGGGATTCTCCAGACCCTAAGTGGGATCCCAGCGGAGAGGCTAATTCAATATAGGCACAAGCTGAGCTGCTTGCAGCAAGACAGGAAGAGCTGCCATCTCCTGCACGTCCTGCTCCTGTGGTCCTTGGGGAGAGAAGATGAGGCCAGGGTGCATCTCAACAGCTTCAGAGATGACGTGGTGGCTTACCATCTCTCCCAAGGCCTCTGGGGCACAGGTGGAGCCAAGACGACAACCCCAGAACAACTGAAGGACCAGGCCAAGGTGGCCCGGGCCGTGGCGGAGATCTATTCGCTCTTGGTTGAGGAGAAGCTCTGTGAACCCTTGGCCAGAGACGAGGCCTACAGAACCGCTATCCAAGCCTTTAGAGCCAGTCACATGGAAGGAGCCCAACTCAAAGGTCTCCTGGATGAAGCTATGGAGAAGTGTGGACTGCCGTTCCTCTTAACGGTGCCCAGGAATAATTCTGGAGCTCTGGCCTCAGGTAGGTGGGAGTTGCCCAGAAGGAGCAGTCCGGTGTCCATCGTCAGCTCTTCTCCTCCTGATAACCCTCAGTCATTACGTTCTACAGGTAGCCCCATCTCCTACATCAGCAACCTTCAGATCAGTGAGACTTCAACCACCTCCGACAGCCCTTCCACCACGGGAAGGTCCTTGCCTCTACCATCAGCCAGCCAAGAAGACACCGGCTCTGTGTCGTTGGTCAATGGCTGCTCCACCAATTCAAGAAGACCTTCTCTACCAAATTCCAGAGGTCCCTGTTTACCGCCTGATTCCAAAATCACACTGTCTTCCAAGGCATCTGCCCAGGGCTCCAAGCACTGCACAGTAACCCCCGTAACAACGCCATCAGGAGACTTGTCTTTCAGCTTCCAGGTCCCACCTCTGCAGAAGTTGGATTCCACGCCTTCTGCAGGAAGTGCTCCACAACCTGGAACCCATACCTCTGCTTCAGCATCGATCACGAGTTTTGGACCTCTGCTATCGTCTTCTTCTCCTTCTTTTTCTTCTTCAGATCTTGCCTCTCGTAGCTCAGAACCTTCTTCAGTGGTCCCACCAGATAATGAAAGACAGTTCTACACCTTCGTGGTCCTGCACGCTGCAGAAGACGAGCTGGTAGCTTGCCGGGTGAGGGAACGCTTGGAGGCCTTGGGTGTCTCCAACGGGGCCACCTTCAGCGAAGATTTCCTCATCCCCGGCTGTGGCCAACTCAACTGTTTCCAGAATGCCTTGGACAACTCAGCCTTCACGCTCGTGCTCCTGACCAAGAACTTCACGGGCCGCCTCTGTGACTATCAACGCGACACGGCCTTGATGGACTCCCTCACCCGCTGCTGCAAGAGGAACTCGGTCATTCCGTTGGTGCCCAAAGAACACACTCTAAAATCCGGGGAAATGCCCCTCCTGCTCGCATCATTGGTGCCCTTGGTTGAAAAATCTCCTGTGTTTGACAAAAGGGTGAAGAAGACCTTCACTTCAAGGGTGATCCAGGAGAAAAAAGCCACCTGGGACTTCATGAGACAGATCCAGGAAAGAGAGGAGAAGATAGAACGAGAGCGAGAAAACCTGAGGCTACAACAACGTCTCGCTGTCCTCAACCTTCAACCATCACCAGCTCTACCACCGGTGGTGGACATTTCAAGACCACAAACATCCTTTATGGAACCAGGGCCCGATCAGGCTTCCTTCTCCCAACCATTCATGTTCTCGATGGGTTCTCCAAATGCAATGCCGGGTCCCCAACTTATCATTCAGAATGCCCAAATGATTCAGATCGGCGATTATAACCGCATGCAGGTGGAAAGAAGCAACGCAGCGGTGGGCACGGCCAATGAGACCATTGAGGGGCCTCCCGTGGAGGAAGGAGAGGACAACCCTGGAGAACGAAAATGAGAGGGATGAAAGAAGACATCAGGAACATTTGTAAGTTTCTTAGAAGCGTTGGCGACTTTGTCGAGGGAAGAGACCAGTCTGACGAAGAGACCTGTGTTACGCGAAGATGTAGGGGCCAACAAGAACTGAGACCTTGAACTTCATGGGTGACCATCTCCGCTTTGCAATCCCCCCAGGGACTCGTAAAGCAGAGGTCCCCAACCTTTTGGGCACCATGGACCACCGGTTCCGTGAAGTTTTTCTGCGGACTGGAGGGTGCGTGGTTTTGTGTGCTGCCTGAATCCCGCGGATGGGGCTTTGCTTGTTTGTGTGGACCGGTTGCTGGCATGTCGCAGCTCAGTACTGGTCCACAGATTGGGGGTTGGGGACCCCTGTTGTAAAGGACAAAATGCACTACAGGTAGTCCTTGCAACCATTTGTTTAATGATTGCCTGAAGTTACAATGACACTGAAAAAAGGGACTGACGAACGTTTTTCACACTTGCAACCGTTGAACTTACGTGATCACAATTCAGACGCTTGGCAACTGACTTGCATTTATGACTTTTAACAGTTTTCCAAGATCACATGATCCCCTTTGGCGACCTTCTGATACACCAAAGACAATGGCGAAGCCGGATTCACTTAACCGTGTTACTAACTCAACAACCACAGCGATTGAATTAATCACGGTGGCAAGAAAGGTCGTAAAACGGGGCAACGTTCACGTAAGAACTCTCTTGCTTAGCAAGGGAAATTTTGGCTCAGCTGTGGTCGTTAAGTCGAGGACTTACCTGTATTCTTCTTAATTTTGCAGCTGGGGAGACAGGGGTTTGGGGATCATTTCTTGCTCTGTAGAAGAGGTGGAGGGGGGAGCCATTTTGCTTTTTGCGGGGAGGGAACCCAGCAAGAACTTTAGAAGGGATGAATCTGAAAGGACACAGAGGAACTGCACGATGATTTACTTGGGTGAAAATTCTGAAATGTGTAGAATTGCTTTATGTTACGTGACCCCTACGCAATCTGTATGTGGCCTTTGAAGATGACTCGGCTCGCATTGCGATTGGAATTACAAGGAACCTGGCTTGATCTTGGTTTAAGAGGCAAAGAGTCACTGTGATCTTGTTTATGGCTTGGGGGGTATCTCCACTCCACCAATTGTGACTTAAACCAGGTTTAAGCTATGGCTTAATGCCAAGTGTAGTAGTTGAGAGCTCTTTTAGATGACAGGCAACGCTGGACTCTAATATGGTAGTCACGATAGCTAAGATGTGTGGACTTCAACTCCCAGAATTCCCCAGCCAGCACGGCTGGCTAAGGAATTCTGGGAGTTGAAGTCCACACATCTTAAAACTTGTTCAAGTGGAGAAACAGTCATAAGACTAAAGGGGTTCAGGAACATGGGGGTGTGTGCACCTCAACATTATCTCTTATCAGCTTGCTGCAGCTTTTCACTTGAACCATCTCTGGAGAAGCCAGGAGCTGCAGATTGCAATGCCCCCAGCCTCAATTCCTCCCTTTTTTCTGCATTTCATCAGATCTGGCGATCAAGATCCACTCAGATCTGAGGAGGGAAAGGATCCAGTTTCCGGAGAAAGGGACCCAGTACTTTTTCCAGTCTAGAGAAGAGGCATTAAAGAAGAGATGTACTGCCTGTCTGTCTTTAAAGACATCCACTCAGGGAGAAAATTACATATTAATTTATCTTTTTTTTGGTACTGCAAGGAAATATGTGTCCTTCTTTGGAAAAATGCATTAGAAACTCCTCAGAAAAAATTGAGGATCCTTTCCCCCCCACACACACTTATATTCCAGTTGGGCCAACGGGATTCCTCAATGCCACCCCTTAGGCTGTACCACCACAGCTTGCCTTTTCTGCCCCCCCCCCCAAGTGGCACATGATTGCATTTACTAGATACGTTATATTCAGTGTGGCATCTAAAGCAGGGGCATCCAGCAATGGCAAGTTGTTGGGACTTGTGGACTTTCCAGAATTCCCCAGCCAGTTATGCTAGCTGAGGAATTCTGGGAGTTGAAGTCCACAGGTTTTAAAGCGGTTGCGGTTGGACACCCCCCCCCCCGATTTAAAACTTTGGATGTGCTTTACGAGTGGTAAATAATCTATGAGTGCATGGGGATTAATAAAATGAGGGACTCTTCATCCTTTTCTTGTATAGTTAAGTTTAAGGATGAATTTACTTTGCCTGGTTGTTAAACAGAATATCACTGTTTTAGGCATGGCCTACTGTGAGCTATCAGATGCTCGGCCGAAATCCACAGATTCTCACATGGGGAGACTTTCACTGTGGATTCCTCAGTGTTCCCCGAGTTTGGTTTAACAAAAAAGGATGTTGAGACTTTGGAAAAAGTGCAAAGAAGAGCAACTGTGATGATTAAAGACCTGGAGGCAAAAGGATACGAACAACAGTTGCAGGATTTGGGCTTGGCTAGTCCAGAGAAAAGAAGGACTAGGGGTGATATAGCAGTGTTCCAGTATCTCAGGGGCTGCCCCAAAGAAGAGGGAGTCAAGCTATTCTCCAAAGCAGCTGAAGGCAGGACAAGAAGCAACGGATGGAAACGAATCAAGGAGAAAAGCAACCTGGAACTAAGGAGGCATTTCCTGACAGTCAGAACAATTAACAGCTTGCCACCAGTAGTTGTGAATGCTCCAACACTGGAGGTTTTTAAGGAGAGACTGGACAGCCCCTTGTCTGAAAAGGTTTAGGGTCTCCTGCTTGAGCAGGGGGTTGGACTAGAAGACCTCCAAAGTCCCTTCCAGCTCTGTTCTGATTGATGGGCGGTTTTCTTGCATACGTTTCACGGCCCAGCCAGGTAACATCATCAGTGCTAGAAGGGAATGTGGGGTACTGGTAGCTCAAAAGTTGAATGAGGGGTCCTTGGGGCTTTGAACTGGGCTGTTTTCTGGGAGACATTTCATTACCAAACTAGGGAATATCATGAGTGGATTACATGGGGCAGCATGGGATGGGGTAGGCAACCATGGCTCTTTTAAGACTGGTGGACTTCAACTCCCAGAATTCCTGAGCCAGCATGGCTCAGCTTGGAAACCTCTCCCTTTCCCCTCAGCGTGGCTGGCTCAGGAATTCTGGGAGCTGAAGTTCCACCAGTCATAAAAGAGCCAAGGTTGCCTACCCTGCTATAGACCAATTCTACATCTGGTGGAACTACTGGTTTGTACCTTTAGAGCAGAGGTCTTCAAACTAGGCCCTTTTATTGACTTGTGGACTTCAACTCCCAATTCCTGAGCCAGCCATGCTGAGGGGAAAGGGAAAGGTTTCCAAGCTGAGCTATGCTGGCTCAGGAATTCTGGGAGTTGAAGTCCACGAGTCATAAAAGAGCCAAGGTTGCCTACCCCTGAGGTAGCCCACAGAAGTCAATCATGCTACAGGAGTCTTCCATTTGTAACTCGCTTTTTCATAAACACCAAACTCTGAAGAAACGTAGGTGCCTATCTCAAACTCAAAAAAAGCCACCACATACAGGTAGTCCTCGACTTACGACCACTTACAACGGACTCCCCCACAGTTACTTATAACCCAGATTTGAAGTTACGATAGCCCCTCCCATAGTTACATGGTCACCTCTTGGGCGCTTGGGAGCTGACTGGCATTTACAGCCGTTTACAATGTCCCGCCGTCACGCAACCACAATTTGCAAAGCTTGGGGCTGAAAACCATTGTCCCCAGCAAAAAATAAAGAAAATAAAAAAATCAATGGATTTGCTTAACAGCCAACCTGCTTGCTTTATGGCCTCCAACCGCTTTCCGTTAACAACCGTCACAAAAGCATTATCAGGGCGAGGTCACGCGGCAACCTCATTTAAACGACCAGCGTGACTTATGACTAGAATTCCAGACTCAAAACAGTCGTAAGTTGAGGATTACCTATATATTAAAACACCTCCAGCCGTACCCCCATATAAACAAGAAGAGTCAAAGACGCGGTTTTGTATGTTTTAGCAGCACAACTTTTTTTTTTCTCCTTGATTTTCAACGTCAGTTTAACTTGTATTTACTTCAAGTGAGGAAGGCTGGCTCTCAAGAGTATATAGTATACGCTGCTTGTGCGTTTCGTTCTGCCATGATTGCCAAATCAACTCCATTCTTTGCAACAAAACCAAAAAAGAAAAAAAAGATAAAGGTAACCTGAAACTTCCTTTACCGGCTAACCTTGTTTGTTTGCTTTGAACACTGCAAGAATGCAAAGAGGCAGACAGGCTTCTGCAAAATCCATTAAAAAGGAGGGGGGGGGAACCCTGAGGTTTCTGTAGTTCTGTTTTAGCTCTACAGCAGAGTTTCTCGACCTCTGCAACGTTAAGATGTTTGGACTTCAATGCCCAGATTTCCCTAGCCAGCTGTTGAAGTCCAAACATCGTCAAGCCGCAGAGGCTGAGAAAAACTCTGCAAGGCAAGTTAAGAACTCTGCTTCTTGTTATCCCTGGGCTGTGTGAAGATGCAGAAATGGTTCCCCAAAATCCATTTAACCGAGTCTATTGGGGGGAAGCGGTGTTTCAAGACCTCAGGAACTTTTTACAAGGGTGGACTTTGACTCCCAGAATTCCTCAGCCCAGCCATGCTGAAGTTTCTGAGGTTGAGGAACACTCTTCTAAACTAGGGGTCTTCAAACTTGGCCCTTTTCGGACTTGTGGACTTCAACGCCCAGAATTCCTCAGCCAGGCACAAGTCATAAAAGGGCCAAGTTTGAAGACACCTGCTCTAAACAGTTCCAGATACCAGGGATGGATATGTTTGATCTGAAAAAAAAAAAAAAAATCTTATCTGGACACGGGCAAGCACCAAAGATGATGACAGCACTGTTGGCCTCCTTTACTTCAGCCTACTCTGACCTTCAGTAGTCCTGTTACTATGAAGAGCTAAGATGACCCAGAGGTCACGCAACCATCAACAGCCACGGCCACCTTACAACTGCTCCGATCCTCTGCCGTGACACTGTTGGTGAGGTAGACCCGGAGAGAAGAACAAGAAAGGTCCTTCAAGATTTGAACGCAAATATGAAGCCCTCTCAAGCTCGCCAAGTCATTTCCCATCCATCCTTCTCAAGCTTTCCAAGTTCACCCACCCACCCATCCAGCTTTCCATCGATCCATCCAGCTTTTCATCCATCCATCCATCCTTCCATCCATCCATCCATCTTTCCATTCATCCATCCAGTTTTCCATCCATCCATCCATCCATCTTTCCAAGTCCATCCATCCATCCATCCATCTTTCCAGCCAGCCATCCAGCTTTCCGTCCATCCATCCAGCTTTCCATCCATCCATCCATCTTTCCGTCCATCCATCCATCTTT